TGGCCGAAAGAAGAGATCCAGTGTATCTCCCGAATTATTGAAAAGGAAAATGCCGATAGCGATATCGATATCGATTTGTTGAATGACCTGTTTGAACTGAAAGCCACTCCTGATGTTTCTTTTTGCGAGCTTTCTTTGGCGAAGTCTTTGGTGTCCTAACTGGTGTTCGGACTTTTCCTTTCGGCTTGTCTTTCTTTTTTGGTGTGCCAATCATTTCATCATCATTCTTGATTTCATCCCCAGCGACTGCCGAGACAGTTTCACTATTGTCTGGTTCACATGGCTCTGTCTGTTTTGCAGCTGCCTTTGTTGTTGTCCTTTTCGTTTTCTGTGGTGTAGTAGCCCTTTTCCTCTTACCATTGGCAGCCTTAGCCTTGGGTGTTTTTTTGCCTGGCTTTGCTGTCTGTTGCTCTTGGTCATGATCTCTTTGCTCATCCTCAGCTTGGTCTCTCACATCCTGCTCTGCTTTTTCTTCAGCAGATTTGGCAGCATCGTCCAAATCTTCTGGTAGCGTATGATTTGCTGCGTCTGGCTGTTCTACAAGGCGTGGTTTCTTAGACTTGGGCAAATCATCGAGTTCCTTCTCAGCATTGTTGGTCTTTGACTCCTTTTGTTCCGGTTTCTTTTGGTTCGTTCGTCCACTAGTGCGACCTCTACCTCTTCCCCGCCCTTTGCCTCTTCCCCGAGAAGGCTTGCTTTTGTTCCTTCCTGCATCTGAATCATCATCATCATCATCTTTGTGCTGTTTGTCTGGGTCTTCATCATCATCATCATCTAATTCTGCCGTAGTATCACGAATGGCTTTTCGCAAAAGAGCTTGGGCCTGCATGCATTGGCAACTGACAAATATGATGATTCGATGAAGGAACTCGGAAAATCAAATGCAGAGAACAAGGCATGTAAGCTATTGTAATAGCATGTAGTAGCAGGAGTCTTGAAAATAGCTTTTTTTAAGACTTCGATCAAACAAGCAAGCCTTCAGCAGGTTATCATCCACGTCTTTGCCATCTTTTGCATCATTGAGTCTCGTGCAAGCTTCCTCAATCTGGGCTTGCAACGAAGTGTCGTCACGAAGATCCTTAGGTAGTTCAGCAAGAGGCTGCCGGTCCTGCCAAGAGCATCGAAACACTACAGCCGAACTTCAGATCAGCCAAAAACCCCAAGTAGTTACAACTACTTCCTGACATATAAATCTGGATATTGTATTGCATTACAACACTAACAACACTTGTAGATCCAATCGACATTAGTTATCCCCTGTCCTTGAACGTTCCCTTTGTTGTTTCAGTCTTTTCTTGTGGCTTACTCTTTGCTTTCCCTTTCTTTGGAGTACTTTCCTCTTCGTCTGAATCCAGGTCACACATCCCCCCAGTTGGGGACAAAGGCGGAACACATGGAACCTCAGGATCCTTGGACTCAAGTTGGGTTTCCGGAGCTGCTTTTTCTTGCTGCTCTGTGCTTGCTCCATGTTGCTGTTTTTGTGGCTCTTGTGGTTGCTCTGCTGCAACTTTGGCATGTTGCTTTGTTGCTGCTGCTGGTACATTCTTTGTTTTCTTACCTTGTGATTGCTCCATTACGTCAGCTGGTGCCGATGACTTGTCTTCCTTTTGTATCTCCTGTGTTGGACCTTGCTCCTGCTTCTCGTTCTCCTGTTGTTTCTGCGCTTCCAACACTTCAGCTAATTCGTGGCAGACGACTGGCTCAACCACTTCGTCATCGGTACTGGATTCCTCTTCTCCGTTTTCTCCCTCCCCCACCATTGCCTCTTCCCCACCCTGGTCTTCAGTATCAACCTCTGGCGCAAGACCTTGAGCAAACAAATCCTCCACAGGTTGGGAATCATCTACAGATAGGGTCTGTGATTCATCCATAGGCTGTGAATCTTGTGGTGGCTGTATGTTCATGATTCCCGGTGACAGTGGAAGGGTTTCTGCAAGATCAGAAGTGGAGCCAACTGGTCCGAAGGCTTCTGTAGCATCGCTTCGTTTCAGCTTCTTAGCCTATCGGCCAAATTGAACAATTAATAATCGAATCTATACTATTATAATCTATTATATTTTTTATATATAGGATAGGATGCATCATATATGATAAATTATGCACAATTATTGAAACAGATATGTTGTGCGTGCACTGTTATGTATTTTCCAACTTTGACAAACAGTCTCTGACTCATGCAATTCAGAAATGGCCTTGATCTCGTACGTTGACCTTCCACGTGTTGGAAGCTTTTTGTTCTTGGGGGTCAGAATGCCTCTCTCCTGAAACAATAAAACATATGAAACAACTGCTCAGTTGGAACCATGAAACCATGAATGGGTGAATTATATACTGCCAATTTCATAATAACAATTTTATATGGATTGCATTTGATATATCATGCATCATCACTATCGTCAATCCTGCCTGGCATTTCATGAGAATAATGCGCTTCAGCACACTCATCCTCTCATGGCCTTTCCTGGCCCGGTGATGAAACAACATGACAGCAAAAAGGTTCGAGTATGTAGCCCAAATTCAACTCAAAGATTCCGAATATGTCGAAGTAACTGGATGAGTTATGAATATCATCATGCATGAAAACAGTCCTATATAATATAAATTATAGAATATTCCAATTTTATGTTTGTAATCTTTTTTGATGGGCCTGCACTTGTCGGTCTTTTGGGTCTTGTTCGCCACATGTGATGCCATTGCTCTGACCAGGCCACCTTCAGTGCGTGCCCATGCCTGGCAAATTTGTTGAGGACAGATTGGGGTTCGGTATGGGAAAGTGTGCTAATCCACACTACTAGTTAGAAGGTAAGGGCAAACCATATTATAGGAACATCTCATAGTGAATATGGTTTTGATTCAGTCAGGGGCCTCATGTTGGCCTCCTCTCTGGAAGTGCGGGTTCAGCCCAAACTTATGGCTCATTTTGCACAGGGCCTCCTCACACGATCTAAGAGACGTGCATGTATTGCAGTTGTTACACTGCAGATGTATTATGTATCTTGATTGAACAAATTCAGTATTGAATTGAAGGTACCCCGATCAGAAGTTCAATGCAGATCGATATAAAATATACTTAAAATAAATTATTTATCACATATGAGTGGCACATCAGTCCTCCACCTCGATCTTTCTTGGGAGGTCACCTGCAAACGTGGCCAAGTACTTGCCGAGAAAAGTGTAGTTGACGTCCTTTTCCACCTTCCGATGACGTAGGCAGTTGCAATTGACACTTAAAAATGCAATCCAATTTACAAAGCATGTTGGATTGATAATCGATCTGAATCATGTATGCTGCATGGATGTATATATCATAATCTCATGCAGATCTCACCTCGGCCTCTCCCAACACATCGACACCCACAAGGTCCACAAATGAAAAGGCCTGTCCCAACGGTCAGGTCTAACAAGGTCATATTGTGGTTGATGATGTGTTGCATCAAATATCAACAATGTTCATTATTGTTTGTTTCCACGATGATTCTGTGGTAGATCACATGCATCAGTTGTTGAATGTACCAGTGTATGCATTGTGCTTCACAACAAAAAACAACATCCCTGAAATTCAACCTGCCTTGCTACCTTTTTTGGCTTTGATGTCAGCCCGTCGCTTTTTGATGTACCCATCTTCGTCACATAGTTCTGTGAAGAAGTCCTTCCAAAGAACAATAATTTTTTGGGTTGTCCAAACAGCATCAATGACTTCAGATATCACCCACCCATTGGTCCGTCAGGAGTGCCAGCCGCCCTCCATCCATTCTACTTGGACGACGGCGCTTGCCCGGCATAGAACTGCTAGCTGGTGTGGCAGAGCTGTTGCATGGATCAAACTTATGTTTCATTTATAAGTGTTATATACCTTAATATGCTTATTTACATATATAATCGGTATAGTATTGATCGATATATCCCAGGGAGTCCAGTAATTATATATTACCCAGGGAGCCCAATCCATGAAATTCTTTGGAAAGATTGTCCTATGTTTGTCCTTTTGATCCCCGTATGATTCCTCAAAATGTCGCAGCCAGTATGGACTGTATGCAAGAATTTGCAACACATGCTGCAATCATGATATCATACACCATGATATGAGCCACAGACACAGTTACCACACTAGTAGTGCACAGAGCGGAGCGCACCCTCAAATCTCGGTTCATCCTCCTGGTCCGAGTTCAGACCATAGAGATCATCATCATGTCCTGCATGCACAGGCTGTCCATAGAGATCATCATCATCATCATCATCATCATCATCATCATCATCATGTCCATAGAGATCATTATCATCACCATGATGGACCCGAAACATTCAATCAAAGTAACCAAGTTTTACTTACAACTGCTATTCTTCAGTTTGTAGACCTGCAACATGCAGTCCTTGGAGGTATTTTCTGCGCTTTCCCATTCCTTTGGAAGCTGACCTAAGAAATTTGGAGGCACATCCAAATACTTCATTATTACAATTTTGAATCACAGTGTGCAGGTTACACACCATGTTATGTAGATTTCATCAGCTTCATGTGATCAAAGTAATGCAATACGCATGCCTATCCCAGTTTTGCACCACCAATCCCAGAAAGTTTAGGCCCGGACGTTCGGAGCCAAGGTTGCAGTACTCATCACCGGTCATCATTGGACAGCCACGGGCGAGAGACAAAAAGTTGACACCCAACTGGTTTCCAAGGTGAGTCATCATGATATTTCTTATCATGTCTTATCAATGTCATCCCATTTTCACACTCTAATTGTCAGAATCATATGTATGAGAGCTAATGTTGTAATGTAGCTGTATATGGTGCTACTGTTTGAGCCCCCTGAGACCCCTGAGGGTGCCAAAGTTCGACCGGTCACGCCAAAGTTCAGCCTCTCATGAAAGACGATACTTTGCCTCCTCTTGGACTCCCTGGGTATATATTATATATATATAGGACAGTGTAAGGATTGGAAAAGATTGGCGCAAGTCGCAAGGTTTTTTTGCCACCACTCATGATTGTTCCCTTTTTTGAGGCTGCGGGCACTCTTCAACCGTGTTGGGGGCCTGGCTTGCTTGGGTCATCACCGATGTCATGCGAATGCGCCTTTTGATAGTTTGAGCAGCGTCGAACACCTCCTTATGTGGCTAGAGTTTCTAGAACGCGTTAAGTGTTAGAATCTGTTAGAACTTGTTGGAACTTTTTGGAACGAATTGTGCCACATAAATTTTGTTTTTCATGTATACTACTGTACATATACCTTAATTCATCCATACCGTACTTTCTCATGGCTCAAGAAAACAAGCGCATATTGCTGGGGTATTCGGGCTGTTTAATCTGTCAAACAGGTTATCAGCCGTACTCTAATTCTCCCTTTCTAGGTATGTCTGCCCCCTCGGATTCCACCACCGAGGGCACCGGTCGCGTTAACTCCTCTGACCAAGCCATGGCCAATCAGGGGACATTACCTATAAGCAACTTGCCATTTTCTATTGACATCAGCACCCCACCAAGCTCCGACAAATCCAGAAGCTTACGGGAACGACGCCACCTTCCACATTTGAGTAACGCAGTTGTGCCTTCTCATGTTGGATTCAATCACCGTGGTTTTGTCCCCCAAGCCGCTCGGGAGGGTGGGCCACCGACTCGCCAATTGAACCAGATGAATGTTCATAATACGTTTCAACACAATGTTCATGTTGACAATCCTCAAGTGAATTTTGTCGAGCAGAATTTGCACCTCCATGCGCATGATCCTGCTATGACAAGCCTTGTGGAAACAACGGCCGAACTCCGTCATCGTGAAGTATTGGCCCAGGCCGAAGCCCACGCTGAGGCCGTCCACACGGCAAAGACTGAGGAATTGGTGGAAGCATTGCGAGTCCGTGAGGGCATTGAAAGTCAGAGGGCCTTAGATGCAATGATGTCCAAGGAACAAGAAGTGTTGAGAATGGGAGCACAGTATAGGGAGAACTTACAGCATGAGGCGCACGAACACGTAAGGTTCCGAGAAGCTCAAATGAATGAGAAAATTCAAGCCTATCAGCGTGTCATCGATGCTAACCATCGACAATCACTTTCCAGTAAGGAGCAAGAGATCCTTGAGTTGAAAAGAGCAGCTGAGGAAGAGAGAAGGATTCAGAATGACCGCATCACACAGCTTGAACACATGGTACAAGCCCAGATGCAACATAATCTGAAACTGCAAAGTATGCTCGATTCCCACTTTGCTCAGGTTCGTCCCAACCCTATTGTCGAAACTGCCGCCATGACCATGACAGCCGGAACCCATGAATCGACGGAGATCCCGAATTTCGAGTTTGTTCCACCGACCCGAAAGGCTGCACCCGCAGCACCTCCGACCAATGTAGCCCGACCTCCAATTGCAAGAACGCCGATCAACTTTACTTCACCTGATGCCAAGACTTATGAAAAGGATGGTATCGAAATCATTTATCATGATCCATCATATCGAGTCCCTGTTCAAGTGAAGAAGGAGTCGGATATTGCAAGGTCTTCCGCCGAGGAACGCCCTTCGGGAGGAGAGGCCAATAATCGTCGACGAGATAACCATCCCATGGATAATGCCAATTCCCCAGCACCGACCAATCAGTACGCCCCGACCGAAATAGGCCCAGATGAGATGGACTACTTTGAGCCGGGGGGCGATGACGCGCCTGATGGGGACGATCCCGGGGATGGAGGAGACGACAACGGGGGAAATGGGGGAGGTGGGCCACCATCACCACCTGATCCAATTGATAAACCTGAAGGGGATAGGAACCGTAAGGCACCCAGAAAGGGAAAAGCTGGTCCCAATCCTCCCGATGGCGATGGTGACGGTGATGACGATCCCGATGATGAGGATGATGAAAGGTTCAGACGAAGAATGATCAAGTTTCTAGGTGGCTACATTGACCCAAGGCATGATGACAAACCCAAGGTCAAGGAAGCTGACACCATCAAGATCCCAGCATTCCCGTTGGCAGAAACCTATCGCAATTGGAGAATCAAGACTAGAGAAGCAGTTGTAGCAGCATCGACCGATCCCGACAGTGCTTTCAAGTGGATTAGTGATTCTTGGAAAGAAGAACAGACCCTTGAAGCGCTCCGGAAGGTTGCGCCGTTTGCGACATTAGATGCAAAGTTACTTTCTGCACTCACCAATATCATCACTGGTGACTTCGCCCGCAAGGTAGACACCTTCAAGGAGACTGAAGCCACCGCTGGACGGATTGTAAGAGGGAGACAAGTGTTGTTCATGTTGCATGACCACTTCAGTACAAACATCAAACACGGAGCAACCTATGCCCTTCAAGATTTGTTCAGTGTCCAATTGCGTGGGGAGAATTTGAAGTCTTTCATTTCAAACTGGGATCAAGTGTTGGCTGGTATTGTCCAGGCTCCTGACGAAAGTGTATTGGAAACACTCTTCTACAAACAAGTGAAGAATTGTAAGGCCATCCAACATGACATGAATGAGTATCATAGAGCTGATGAAGGAACCGAAAAACGGAACTACAGTTTTCTTGTTTCTGCCGTGCGACGCCACCTTGACCGTGAGAGGTTGGAGGCAAATCGTGATCGAGTTGCCAAAGGTCTTTCGGGTGCCGGTCGTCCCTCCGCTCCTGCAGTCGAGGGCAAGACAGGTTTTATTCCCAAGGGGTATTGTGTGGCATGGAACAAGGGAGGCTGTAGTAAGGACAACTGTACTTATAAGCATGAAGTCCCCAAGCCACGTGACAGAAGTCGCAAGCCCAGCAAAACCAGAGGTCGCTCAAATGAACGTTCTGGTTCTCCCAAGCCAAAGGGGAAAGGTAAGAAGATTTGCAAGTTTTGGAGACAGGGACGTTGCGATAGAGGAGCTGATTGCAAATTCCTTCATGAGGGATCAGTGGGAAAACCAAGACAAGCTACTCCTGCCCGTTCGGCCAGTAGCGAAACCAAAAATAAAAAGAAGAATACCAAGAACCCGAAAAGGAAGGGATCCCGAAGCTCTAGCCGCTCTAAGAGCCCCAAGAGCCCGAAATCCCCGAAATCCAAAGGATCCGGGGCCAGCTCATCTAAGCCGTCTCCTGCCGCAGTTTGTCTTGTTGCATCCATGCTTGCATCCGTGTCTCAGGCATTTTGTATCCCTCAACCAAGAGTATTTTGTCCATCGATTCGTTTTGATGATTCACCGGACGTATCTCATGTGAAAGTCCGAGGGAACTTGAGGCCAATTGGAAACGCAGTCACCAAGGATAAGGTTACCTTTCCATGGGGACATCAGTTTGAAGTTGATCAACTTGCTGTGAATGATGCCGCTTTGACCGGTACCATGTTGGCAGGATCAGTTTCCAATTGTCTTCGGGGAATAGAATGCAAATGTGCCTATTTATGTGACACAGATTTTGGTTGCAATGAATGTATCCCGAAGGGACTCAAAGCCACCCCTGCGGAATGTAGAGAAGATGTGAAGGGAGCGATCAACCTCGAACTTGACTGGATTGCAGATACGGGGAGTGCTCAAGATCTTGTCAATGATAGTGAATTGCCGGACGACTATGGATACCACTCCAACAACCCCATTCGCATGATCACTGCCAATGGAGAAAGTTCGTCATCGAAACAAGGAAAAGTATTTGTTCCTAAGTTAGGCAAGACTATTGACCCCTATCTTGTTCGAAGCTCACCTCCTGTTATCTCGGTCGGGATGAGATGCATTGATGATGGCTACGACTTCATATGGAGAGGCTCCAAAGGTGAACCCCCGTACATGGTCAAACCAAATGGGGAACGCATTGAGTTAGTTGTCAGAGATTATGTACCCTACTTTGCAAATAATTCAAAGACGATTTCCACTCCATCGACTCAGCCTAGACCAAGCGTTGCCACCCCGGCATCAGATGAAGCTCAACAATCTCCGGAGCCCGATGGGGACATTGAAATCATTGGTGATGACCCCATGGGTATCAATGTTGATTTACCGGAGCCCCAGCCATTGGAAGCTGAGGAGGTTGATGTCCCTGATGCCGACCGGGAGGTTGAGCCGCCTTTGGAAGGGTCCAAGGGTAGCAGTAGTAACGTCCATGATGATGGTGCTCACAAAAGGTCACTAGGGGAAAAAGAGTTAAAAGAAGAAGCCAAGTCCGTTCGACATATGCTGACTCACGTCCCTAAGAACCCCTTTTGTGATATATGCACTAGGGCTAAGATGTTCAAGCCACCCTCAAGAGCCGTAGGCGGATCAACCAAGGTTAAAGCTGAGAAATTTGGTGACCACATCACAGCTGATTTTATTGTCACCAGAGATGAAGACGAGTTGGGAATCGATGATGAGAAAAGTGCACTCGTGGTTAAGGACATAGCCACAGGATTTATATATGTCTACCCCAATGCCAGACGAACCACCAATGCTGCGATCTTAGCGATCAAACATTTTGTTGGACATGAAGATAAGATAGGAGTCTTCTACAGTGACAATGCACCTGAATTAATTTCAGCAATGAAAATCCTTCAGTGCCGTCACGTCTTAAGTAGGGACTATATATCTAAGTCCAACGCCCAAGCCGAGAGAGCAGTTCGGTCAGTTCTTGAAGGCACTCGTGTCAATCTGCTCCAAGCAGGCCTGAATCATTGGCACTGGCCACATGCTGCCCGACATTGGTGCTTCATGCAGAATGTCATTGCAACGGGGGGAGACAAATCACCATGGGAGTTACGTTTTGGTTCGAAGTTTGATGGCCCTCTCATTCCTTTTGGTTGTCTTGTTGACTATTGGAATGGTCCGAGAAAGAAGAATAAGGAGGGACTTCGTTTCGACCCAACATCGAGCCCTGGTTTATTCCTTGGCTATGCCATTCACCCCGAATTCATGTGGAGAAAAGAATTCATGGTTGTACCCACAAAGGATCTTGTTGAGAATGAGTCCAATGGTACTGCATCAATCTTGCGGGTCCTCAAGATCAACAAACCAAGTGATATACAATTTCCTCTCCAAGGCCGAACGACTTTTGGAAAAAATGAACCGGGACTTTCCGAAGCTCTGGGGAACCAAGAGCCGGCTTTGGAGGAT